TGTCCCGGGGAGGCCGGGCGGGAGGAGCGGGGGGCCCCGGCGAGGTGGCGGAAACCGGTGACCGAGCCGTCTGCTCGTCGAGTGCTTGTCTAGGCTGGCGTTGACCCTGCTTTTTCTTCCCCCCGCCAGCACTCTCCTTCATTTTTTAAACCACAAAATTAATTCAATTCATAAAGCACAGCCCTTAAGTAAACTCCAAGGCATGCATAAAAACTGAACGAACTAGCTTCATATGCAGCTTTTGTTGCGGTTCCAGCTGACATAGCGTATGTTCCCCCTGCGGGCCAGAGTTTGTTTATCGTATATAGTATGCTTATCTCTACATGCAGATTACTTATTTGTGCAAATAAGGGCGGCCCCCAGGGGAAGATTGAGGGCACAGACTAGAAAAGCAGTCTGGCAGATATTACCATTATCTTTTGTTTTCTAATTTAGCTGTGTTCCTTATTGTTTTAAACTAGCAGGTGGAGATGTCGTGCAGAGTCAAAATATGTCATGATAGACGCTTTTACAGAGGTGCCCAGTTTCTAAAGGCACTTCCCTCCAGAGGAGGGATGTCCTCGATAGATCTCTTGTTCGACAGCACAGTTTTTGTGTGAGGATATGGGAGGACACGCTCGCAGCGCTTCACACAGCATGACTATGTGCTAGATTGTTTTTTAACATTATGCCTGAGGCTTCTTGAGCTTAAAGAGTGTTTCTGTAACCACATTCAACATGCGGCTTAAAAAAAGGAATATATGGAACTCTGATCCTGGCAGTGTCAAATGAAACTAAATTCAAACTGTGTTAGCTCCTGGGTCTACAAAAGTGTGACCTTTTTCTTCTTGAAGTACCCAGTAATTTAGAAATCTTTGTCATTTATCTCTAGTTAATGAACCCCAGGTCTCTCTTCCCATCTGCCAGAATAAGGAGACCTCTGTGTGCACTCAGCAGAAGACAGGAAAGCACGCCACTTATCAAGCAGAGACCAGTATATTCTTGCTTCATTGGTTTTCATTGACCTTTATGCTGCAATAGTGCCCTGGTCACCTACATGGCTTGTGATGTCCAATGTAGCATAGAAATCATTATCTCAGGCTAAAATAAGTAAATACAGGTTTTTTTCTGTGTATGAGTCCCTTTAGGAAACTCCCCACTTCACTGGCTGCCTCAGACAGGTCAGTTCCTTAGAGCATGCAGTAGATGCTGCCCTTTGTTCTGGGTAAAGGCTGTCCCTACCCAGACCTTCCCAGCTACCACCAGCCCCACGGGGCAACCTGTGATAGAACATCAGTAGCTGTGTACCCCAGGTACACCTGAGCTCCTGTGGCAGCCAGCACCTGTAGACCCATGGCGACCCACAGCAATGGCTGAAACTGTAAATGGAGAGAGTGCATAAACAGAAGAGCGATGGTTCCCCTCATCGTGGATTTGTGAAGAAGCTTTCATAGCCGTCACTTCTGCTGTCCTTGCCTGGTGATGAATGGAAGCCTTTTCTCCTCACCTGTTGATACGACAACTCACGCTAGTGATATGCTCGGCTTGTTTAGCATTTAAAGGCTGTTGTGAAAAAAAAAAAAAAAAAAAACCCAACCAAACAAAACCCACCTGAATTACTGTTTATTTGCCTGTTCTTTTCGCTGATCTTATCTATGATCTGAACAAGAAGTGGTGTGAAAGCTTGGAAGATAATAAGCTTGGTTTTTTTCCTTAACTTTTGCCTAAGGCATTAGGGTGTGATCTTTCATTTCAGAATCATGTGAGGAATTGGAAGCGGAAAAAGCAACCTCTAGTAAATCTGTCATAGTAGTAACCACTGCCTCTGGGGAGGAAATAGAAGATGAAATTGTGGAAATGTACTTTGAAAATAAAAAGAAGTCCGGTGGGGGGGCCATCGAGTCCTACATCAAAAAGGATCAGCAAATGATCATCACCTTTCAGAATGAGGAAGGTATGATCGTATCTTATGGGTGTTATATTACTAAAGCTTCCTTCTAAAAATAGGCCTTTGCTGGTGCTGGATCTCTTTGTGGGCATTGCTTCAGCAGAAATGGCGTATTATTCCCAAAGAGTAATTATTCCCATAGGATGTAAAAGGAGCAAATGTGCCTGTCTATCCAATGCAGATGTGGGTTTCTGACAGTGTTTATAATAACCCACAGGGGAAGAAGTGGTTCTCTAAACCTCTCCCAAATGCTTGATCAAGGCTCACACAGAATAATGCAGGAGAAATGATGTCAGGAGCACTGCAGCATAAGTAAGCTTTAATTCTAGTTCAGGAGACTGGATAAAGCATAGTACAGTATTAACTGCAGATCATGGGTAAATATTATTTTGTTGTATTTTCTTTTATATTCCTTTCATTTGCCAGGGTTTTGGAGATTGGGAGGAAAAGAGGTAGTAAATATTATGTATTTGTAAGACAGAGGGGTGAATGCTCACCTCTGTGGAGAAAAAGATTTTAAAGTAGCCTCAATTTATCTGTAGTTTTCCTATGTTTTCCTCTATACTAAAGTGCTGTGGCTACTTGTTAGTGTGTGAAGGATTTATGCAAAAAGAGGAAACGGTTTATGCAGGAGAAGGTTAAATATAGTTAAATATTTAACATAGTCAAATATCATTAAATATTCGTTAAATACACAAGATAAGCAGGATGGAAAACCCTTTCTTTATTTGCTATTTATTACATGTTACTAATCTGGAGAACAGTTTCTTGCACTTGAGGGCAGTAGAAAGGAGGTAGCATTTACCTCAAAAAGTAACTTCCCCCCCCCGCCCCCCCTTTCCTTTGGGGAGACTGGGGACATCTAGATCATAGAGTAGCTTTTATCCTGACCCTAACTTTTGATGTAGGTTTGCCTTATTTCTGTTTCTTCTGTGATATGAGAAAATATGGCTGGCCGGATTTTTAAAGTAGAGTGTAATTTAACATGTTGCTCTGCTGTGATGGGAGGGGAAGGGAAGATCATGTCTGTCTTTGTTTTCCTGTGGAACTAGATGCCCAAGAAGTTTTGCAAAGGAAGCATCACTCAGTGAAGAAAATTGATCTGTTCGTGAAGCCATGGCAAGTGGAGGACTCTCAAGAATCCCTTCTGTCTACTGTAGTTGTGCTTGAAAATGTGCAGGAGACAGTAAAAGACTGCATGTTAATTATGCTGGTAGAGAACATCAGTGGCTTGTCAGAGGATGATGGTGACTTCAGTGTGGAAATGATTCCTGAAATACATGCTGCTGTAGTTACTTTTACTGGAAATATTGGTAAGAAGGAGTCAGAGTTGTGGATCTTTTTTATTAGCCACTTGTGTGTGTGTCAGGGGGAGACTAAGCAGGAAGTAAATGTTTTCTGTCATAGTTTTAAGGTTTAATCTGATATTGCATCATTTTAAATGAGGATTTACTCTAGTAAAGTTAATGACATACCTTTTATCTGTAAGTTATAGAGGCCAGTGTAAATCAGAAGAGGGCTAGCTTGATTTGGGTAGTAAACAGAACAGGTAGGACTAAAAACAAACTATAACTTTATACAAGCAACAAAAGGATGTGCTCGATCTTAGAACAGATTGATGATAAAGGCTGTCCTTGCCAAAAGGTGTTACATGTGTAGTAAGTTTGCATGAATTTGAGGGAAGATTGAACAAGTTCGTGGAACAGAGCTTTTTAAGGTTATTAAATAGACTGCATCAGGCTGGGGAAATTGACTGTAATAGATTGGAGACTGGGAGAGGATTAGGGAAGCAGCATCTTCTTAAAGCTGTTCTCTAGATACATGCTGTGGCTGTTGCTGGAGACAGGATACTGGGCTGGATGGACCCTGGGACGCTGAGGCAAGTCCAGCTGTCCTTACACAGAGTGGCAGCTGTCAGTTACGTGAAGCGTGGAATTAACACCCTATGCTTTGCCTCATGCAGCAGTACCAACTAGTTGTTAAGCTACTGCGTGCCCACTGTGGTTTTTTAGTGTGTTTGATACCATACGCTTTCTCTTCTGCCTTATTAGTGATTGATGACAAAGGCATCTTCCAGGTGACGGAAAGGTGTCTGCTCTTACTTCTCACCAGTAAGAGGTTGGGGGGACTTCCTGGTTCCTGCCAAAGTTTATGATTGATAGTATTAACAAATTCCATCCCAGGACATGGGCAACAGCAAGTGGTATGATAAAACCAGATTCAGAAACAGTGTAAGCCAATGCCATAGCTGGTGTTGTAGAGATAACAGCACTGCATTACCAGGAGAACTGAATTGAACTGGCAGCAGTGAACTGGTTCCAGGATTCTTTGAGTGCTGCTGCGCTTGAGTCCTTTTAGGGACAAGATGATTTTATCTGCGCTTGATTCTGGGTGAGGAGGTGGGACAGGAAAGAAGAGAGAATTCTGTCATCTGTGTGGAAAAATTGTAAATCTCTTTAGAAGGTAGAATGTGGTGAAAACAAGTTATACGCCACTTCGAATCCACTTTGTGGAAATAGTTGTATTACTGGTAATATGCAAGAATGAAGTTGCTCAGAAACCTTAAAGTTGTGAAGGGATTAGTCTGTGGTATAACTAAACCAAGGAAGTTTTTAGTCTCTGAGAAGGCATAGGGTTTTCTCATATTGTGGTCCGGTCACAAATTTTTGGTGTACCCTTTAGGAAATAAGTAGATCCTTTAAAAACTTAATTGTGTGTTTGTCTGACAGATGTAAAAGTGACTTGACTATCTTTTACCGTGATGATAACGGGGGGGAGGAATAGCCAAAAATAGAATGTGTTTATCATAAAACTGAAAGAATCCAAATCTGAACTGTTAACTTATGTCTAATTAGTTGCGTATAAAGCCATAGCCCAAAAATGAACTGATCTTATTTTCTTTTGGGGTTAAAGAGACCCAGTGCTACTCAGTAGGAAAACTAGTGACAAATTCTGGCTATGATAGTTGTAGTCAACAATTGTGATCAACCATGTGGTGATTACTAGGTGACAGATACTGAATGAGTGGAAAGAAGTAGCTTTGTGAGCTATAGATGTGGGTTAATAGATGCTTTGTAATTCAGTGCTTTGGTCAATGCACACAGCAATAGTCTACTAACATCATAGTAGAAAAGTGAGCTACTAGTTTGATCTTGGGGTTTTTCTGTGGTGTTTTTTTCTCTCTTTTCTTCTTCCTTCTCTAGCTGCTGGGGAGTTTGCTAGCAAGCTTAATCAAAACCACAGAGCAAAGCAACAAAATATTACTGCCCGGTGCCTTGAGCTAACAAGAAGAATTAGGGCTGAAAATATACCACCTAACACACCCAGTGACTATATAACTATCTACTTTGAAAGCAAGAAGAATGGAGGTGCACAAGTGGTGGATGTTCAGCAGCTGCCTGATGAAAATGCAGCTATCATTACATTCAGTGACCATAAAGGTAATACAGAAATATGAAGCCTTTATTTCTCTGAGATCCTTTCACTTGAAGATCAAAATGTGGATTTTCTAGAGTGCCCTCATAAACCAGCAGATCTGGTGCTTTGTCAGCAGGTCTCTGCTAACTGGAGTGCAAGCTTAAGTTTTGGACCAGCTGAGCATGAGGCATAGAATTTTTTCCTTTTTGTGCACAGTTTATTTCACCCAGGCCTTGATCCTTACAGAGTTCAGGTTACAGTGTGGGTTCAATAGAGAAAGCACAGCCCCACGTAGCGCAGGAGACTACTCCCCCAGGCCTTCACCACCAGCTGCCCCATGGCAATGTGTGCTGTCTGGCTCGCCTGAGGACAATTTGTTGGACAGCTTTTTGGCCGGAGAGCGGGTGCTGTGGCTTGTCCAGCCAGTGACGGAAACATGAGCATTTGTGGAAGGTGGAGGACAAGGGGGAAGCTGGAGGCATTGCAGGGAAGGGGAGAGCTGAAGGGAAGTTGAAGTTTCCCCCTTTTTGGGGGGAAATGGAGGAGCTGTGGTTTGATACAGCTGAGTATAGCCCAGACAACTACTGAGTTGGGCACTTCAAGTACAGCATGTAACAGAAGTGGGGGCAGAGACAGTGCTGTGCATACCTCCTCCTGGAGATGGACAGTGTTGGTTCTTAACTGTCTCTCTCTAACTTAGTTTTTGGCATTTAAAACCAGTAACTCTTCAATAATTTGGAATTATTTCTATCTGGGAAGGGGGAAAAATTCGTGTAAAACTATTCTTGGACATAACGAACATAATTATGTGGAAAACACAGTTTAAAAAAAAAAAAAGCAGATGTTCTTTGGTTTTAAGTGCTAGCATTGATTGATTGGGTTATTGTTTGTTTGTTTTAGATGTAACCAATATCTTGGCAAAGCAGCATTCACTCAGCCAAACACCGATCTTTGTCTATCCTTACTACATCTCGCTGGGAACAACTCTATATGGAAAGGAAGGGCCTCAAATAAAGAAGCCAGATCCAATTACAGTGCCTCTGGATCTGTATATCTGGGGTTACTTGCAGAGAAATAATAGGCTAATTGAGGCAATAAGTTGTGAAATGGCAAAGTGTAATTGTGTGCTAACATGGCCTGAACCCCGCTGTGCAGACCCAAAAGTTACTTTGCATCCTTCAGCTACTTTGTCTGAGCAGAAGAGATTAGTATCTCGATTGATCAAGACATGGAATGAAGATGTTTCTACAGCATTTTCACATAGCATATCGAAGTACAAAGCAATTAAATGTCCAGTAAGCACAGAGGTGTGGGAAGCCATTAGAAACCGCTTCACCCACGATGAAGTTCTGATAATCCCGTGTATTTCCAAGGATTTAGTTGTTCTGGTAGGTGAAAAAGAAGTTGTGAAGGATGTTGAACAAGAACTGAAGTTTCTCATAGAAGAGGCCACCAGAGACATTGAAAGAGAAAAGCAAAAAACTGAAGAAACGGTGGTAATGGGTCCAGGGGAATATGCAATTTTACAGAGTACTGGTCTTGAAGAAAAAATTCATATGGAGTTCCCAGCCCTGCAGATATCTTCTGCAAATGATCGTAAGTTAATTAACCTGTGTGGAGTGCCTGAGGAAGTTTACAAAGTAAAAGGGGAAATATTAGACAATATACGCAAAATGGCAAAGAAAACAGTTAATATCCACCCTTACATTTTCCAGTTTTTAGAGCATATTGATAATGAAACTTTGTCACAGAGCTTGTTTATGTCAAAACAAATTAGTGCCTTTTATGAGCTTGGCACAGAAGCTATCATCTTGAAAGGGAGTTCTCCTGAAGATGTCCTAAAAGCAGAAGAAGAAATAAAGAAGGAACTGGACTACAAAACCATTACTTTGGAGGATGAGTCAGTCCTCCAGAAGAAGGAATGGAGGATGCTCATCAAGCGAAACTGCTCTGAAGCCATAACAGTCACTGAGGCAGAGAGTCAGGTCATCATTGCTGGTTGTTCTCAAGCAGTAGCAAAAGCCTTTGAGGAATTTTTTAACTTTATAGATGAAAACACGCAAGTACGAAAGATCGTTGGAGGAAAGCCCATGGCGGTCATAATCTTTTTTGAGAAAGAGAAGACCAATGTTTGGGGTGACTTACAGAATAAAGGTGTGGAAGTTGACTTTCGCACACAGAAGAAATGTAGAGTTATATTCTTGAGTGGGCCGAGAAGAGAAGTGCTGAAGGGAGTCACCTTAGTTGAGCAAACTCTGTCTGGCCTGCATTATAAGCGTGTGGTAATTAGAGAGCCAGGAGCCAAGTGGTATTTCAAAGAGCGAGAACGCTTTTTTGCTGCTCTTGTGAAACAAGAGTTTAAGTGTCTAGTCAGGCTGGAAGAGCAGTCGGAAGAACAGCTGGAAGAACAGCAAGAACATAGTAATATAGGCAAGCCCTATAGGCAGGTGACCATAGGTGGAATTGTAATAGCAGTTTATAAAGCTGACTTGTGCACTCATCCTGTTGATGTTGTGGTAAATGCATCTAATGAAGACTTAAAACACATCGGTGGCCTTGCTCAGGCACTGTTAAAAGCAGCTGGTCCGGAGCTGCAACAGGAGTGCGACGAGCTGGTGAGGAAGAACGGGAATTTGCAGCCTGGGTGCGCAGTTATCACGGGCGCTGGGAAACTGCCCTGCAAGAACGTCATTCATGCTGTTGGGCCCCGGTGGAGGAAGGATGAAGCAGAAAACTGCATGTGCTTGTTAAGAAAGACAGTGAAGAAAAGTCTACAACTAGCTGAAACATACAATCATCGTTCCATAGCTCTACCTGCTATAAGTGGAGGGATTTTTGGCTTCCCCCTGGAACTGTGTACATATTCAATTGTATCCTCCATCAAGGAGACCTTGGAAGAATCCATGGGGGACAGCAGTTTGAAGGAGGTTCATCTTGTGGATATTGCACCGAATAACATTCAGGCTTTCAGCAAGGCACTGACAGAAGTGTTTTCAGATTATTCACCTTCCAACAAGTCACTGCATCAGACCAGTACAGTTCATCAGCCTACGAAAAGCAAAATTTCTCAAAATAGCAAGAACTTCTCATTGGTAACAACTGAGGAAGGTCTTGACATCAGGCTGAAAAAAGGAAGCATTGAAGATGCTACAGTAAGTGTTTTAAATTATGTGCTTTTAAAATATC